GTGAATACATAAATATCTCTAAACTGTTCACTTTGAAATAGTTCATTTAACATGAGTTTCATGTAATACGAATTTCACCTTGATTTTTAAGAGTAAAGTGAAATAGAATTTTAAGATATCATAAGCAATGAATAAATAGCCCTGTTTGAAAATAACTTAAAATTGAATACTTTATCAAAAATGTAGATGGTGATCAATACTTTCATGTTTAGTAAAACATGAAAGTTACAAAGGGGTTAACAGAATATATAAATAGCTCCTGAAAAATACGCAACATGGTAAAAAATGGGGAAAAGCTTGGGCAAAAGTACAGATAAATAATTCCTATCATGGTATGGACACTGAAAATCTCAGATACATAGCTCAGCATTTAAAAGGACAGGATAACTGCTGCTATTAAAAAGATAATGTTATAACTTCAAGTAGTTTTAATATTGTTCAGCAATAGGGAAAAAAGTACAATCTTCCCTAATTAATCTCTTCTTCACCCATTATTTTTAATTTTTTCTCAAGCTCAGCTAGAAAAGAAACTGTGTTATCACCATCACTCCCTTCTTCAGAATCTTTGAAAATGGAATGGTCAGGATTCAGAAAACAGAAGGAAAAAGAAAGGATGTACACTATTAATCTTTTTCCTTGGAAACATCTCACGCAATTTCACATACCAATGTTTATATGAGAAAAGTGCTTCCCATGTCCATGTAATATTATAAACCAAAAAGCTCCATCCAGTCTAAGGATGAATATGAATATCTGAACAATTTAATAAAAAGCAATGACATCAAGGCATGGAGCGTATTTCCAAATATAATAAGGGCAATGTAAAAATGAAACTATCTGATTTGGAACAGTTAACAACTTTAACACAAATACCCCTATAGAAAAGTAATAATCTTTATGACATGTCTATCTGAACTTTATTCTTTGTTGTAGTACTTTCAGAGCTAAAATTAATTGTTAGTAATTGTAAGTGTCATCGAAAACACAAAACATGGAGGCTACTGTTGTGGTGTAATGGATAAAGCTGTCACCAGTGACACCATAGGTGCACTGGTTTGAGTCCCAGCTGCTCCACTTCCAATCCAGCTCCCTGCTAAAGTGCCTGGAAAAGAGCCTGGGAGATGGCACAGGTGCATGTGCCCCTGCCACCCACATAAGAGACCCAAAAGAAGCTCCTGGTTCCTGGCTTCAGATTAGCCCAGCTCCAGCCATTGTGCCCATTTGGGGAGTGAACCAGCGGATGGAAGATTCTCTGTCTTTACCTCTCTCCGTGTGTAACCCTGCTTTTCCAATATATAAATAAATAAATCTTAAAACAAAACACACACAAAAATATGAATATACAGAAACAAGAATATTTTTTCACATGTCCAGTATTTAAAGTACTACCTGATATGAAAACCAGAAACAAAAATAGAAAACTACAGGTCAATATCCTTGATGAACAAAGATGCAAAAATCTTCAACAAAATACTAGCTAACCAAAAGATTATTCACCATGATCAAGTGGGATTCATACTGGGATGCAAGGATGGTTTAACATATGCAAGCCAAGGCCAGCACTGTGGCTCAGCAGGTTAAAGCTCTGCAGCACCGGCATCCCATATAGGCTCCGGTTCGAGTTCTGGATGCTCCACTTCTGATCCAGCTCTTTGCTGAGTCCTGGGAAAACAGTGGAAGATAGCCCAAGTCCTTGGGCCCCTATACCTGTGTGGAAGACCTGGAAGAAGCTCCTGGCTCCTGGCTTCAGATCAGCTCAGTTCTGGCCATTGAAGTAATTTGGGGAGAGAACTGGTGGATGGAAGACTTCTCTCTCTCTCTCTCTCTCTCTCTCTCTCTCTCTCTCTCTGGCTCTATCTCTCTGTGCAACTATCTTTCAAAAAATAAAATAAATATTTGAATATATATATACACACACACAAATCAATAATATGATACACATCAACAGAATGAAAGACAAATCATGTGATCACCTCAATATTTGCAGAAAAGGCATTTGACAAAATTCAGCATCCCTTCATGATAAAACTGAACAAGGAGGTACAGAAGAAACATCTCAACATTGTAACAAAGAAAAGCCAAAGGCTTTCTGAGATCTGGACCAATACAAGGATGCCCACTTTCGTCACATTTATTCAGTACTGGAAGTCATAACCACAACAATTAGGCAAGAGAAAGAAGTAAAAGGCATCTAACTTGGAGAGAAGGAAATAAAGTTGTTACTGTTTATAGATGTCGATCTGAGGTATAGGAAGCCTCATAGTTTCCACTAAGAAAATACTGGAACTGATGAACAAATTAGCAAAGCTGCAGGATACAATGTCAACATACAAAAGTCAGTAGAGTTGTTATACACCAGTAATGAGTCATCTGAAAGACATCAGATAGTCCTATTTCTACCAGCTACAAATAACTGTCTCAGTAAATTTGACTGAAGAGGTGAAACATCATACAATGAAAGCCTTAAAATATGAGATAAATTCAAGTGAACACAAATAAATGGAAAGATATCCCACATTCATGCATTACAAGAATCAAAATCATTAAAATGTTTGTTCTACCCAAAAGAGTTTACAGATTTGGTAATCTTTATCAAAATACCAATGCCATTTTTCATAGAATTGAAAAAAAAAAAAAAACACTACCACAATTTGCATTGAACCACAAAGACCCTGAATAGACAAAGCAGTCTCTTAACAAGAACAGAACAAGGAGCATTACATTACCTGAGCTTAAAATATACCAGAAAGTTACAGTCATTAAAATAGCATGGTGTTGGCATAAAAACAGACACTGATGGTAGAATAGAATAGAAAGCCTACAAGGAAACCCATTCATCCGCAACCAACTGATCTTTGTCAGGGCGTCAAGAACACACAATGTAGAAAGGAAAGTCTTCAGGGCCAGCTTTGTGGTGCAGCAGGTAAAGCCGCAGCCTGCAACACCAGCATCCCGTAAGGGTACCAGTTCATGTGCCAGCTGTTCCACTTTCAATCCAGCTTCCTGATCGCAGCCTGGCAAAGCCAGAAGATGGACCAAGTGTTTGGACCCCTGCTACCAACGTGGGAGATTCAGAGAAAGCTCCTGGCTCCTGGCTTTGGCCTGGCTCATCTCTAGCTGTTGTGGCCATCTGGGCAGTGAACCAGCGGATGGAAGATCTCTCAGTGTCTCTCTCCCTCTCTCTCTCTGTAACTCCGTCATTCAAATAAATAAATAAATCTTTAAAAACAAAACCAAAAAACCACAACAGTCTGCAATAAATAATGCTGGGAAAATTGGATATCCACATGCCAAAGAATGAAATCAGACCCCTATCTATCAACATACACAAAAATCAACTCACAGTGGATTACTATCTTAAATGTGAGACTTGAAACCATGAAGTCACTAAAGGGAAAAATTGGCATGGGAAAGGATTTGGGGGCTCTCACTCCTCGTTTATGAAATGAGGTTTCATAAAAATAAAAATCTGTACCGTAAAGGAAACAACAGAGTAAAGAGACAACCTCTAGAATGGAAGAAAATATTTGTAAGGTATGCATTTGCCAATCTTTTGCTGAGGATTTCTGCATCTATTTTCATGAGAGATGCTGGTCTGCAGTTTTCTTTAGTAATGAATTCCCAGTTTTGTGCTGGGGTAATATTAACCTCTTAGAGTGAGTTGAGAAGTCTTTTTTTCTGCTTCTATCTTCTGTAATGGATTGTAGAGAATACGTATAATTTTCTTTAAATATTTGATAGAACTAACCAGGGAATCCATCAAGACTTTCTATTTTGGAACATTAATTATGACTCAATTTCAAAAGGCCTTTAGATTATCTATGTTTCGCTCCACTTCCAATACAGATCCCTGCTAATGTACCTGGGAAATCAATTGAAGATGGCCCAAAGGAGACCTGCAAGAAGCTCCTGGCTCCTGGCTTTGTTCTGGCCCAGCCCCAGCTATTGCAGCCATTTGGAGAGTGAACCAGAAAATGCAAGACTTCTCTGTCTCTCTTCCTCTCTAACTCTGTTGTTCAAATAAATAAAAATCGTTAAAAGAAAAAAAAGGAATGCCCTTTCAATGGGAATTTACAGTGTGTTGCCCTTATGATGGGATTTCATTCACTTAACAAACTTAGGAGATTTTTTTATTCATCGGAATGTTTCTATTAATTGCTGAGTAGTAATGCACTGTGCATATAAATCACAATTTGTTTATTCTTTCACCAGTTGATGAACCTTAGGGTTTTTCCAAGTTTCTGGCTATTATCCATAAAGTTCCTATACACATTCATGCATAAGCCTTTATGTGAATATTGTGGTCACTCTGTAGAAGTAAATTTGCCAAGTTTGGATGTTGAGATTGAGGATGCCAGCTTACCCAAAGGTGTGATAAAAGGGGAAAAGAGGTGTGAAGCCTAAAGTGTCATAGCAAACACACAAAAAGTGAGCTAGACTTTTTTGCAGTGCACACATATTTTTATGTGCAAATGAATAGGAAGGGAATTGTTGGTTTGTATGGTAAATATATATTTAACTTATAAGAAATGGCCAAAGTTGTCTGAAGTGGTTAAGCTGTTCTGCACTCCCATCAGCCAAGTAAGAGTGCTCCACATCTTTACCAGTATTGTGTTTTCCCTTTCAAACTGTACCTGAGTTGAGGCCCGCACTGTAGCATTAACAGGTTAAGCCACTGCCTATAGCATCCTACTGGTTCAAGTCCTGGCCCCTCCATTTCCAATCCAGCTCCCTGCTAATGTGCCTAGGAAAGCAGTGGAAGATGGCCCAAGTACACGGGCCCCTGCACCTACATGGGAGACCTGGATGAAACTTTGGCTTCTGGCTTCAACCTGGCCTAGCCCTGGACATTGTGGCCATTTGGGGAGTGAACCACAGTACATGGAAGACCTCTCTCTCTCTCTCTCTCTCTCTCTGTCTCTCTCTGCTTCTGCTTCTCCCTCTCTGTAATTCCACCTTTCAAATAAATAAATAAATGAATCTTTAATTTTTTTTTTTACCTGGGGCTGGCATGATAGCACAGCAGGTTAAGCTGATGTTTGTGACACTGGCATCCCATATCAGATTGCCGGTTTGAGTCCTGCTTCCGATTCACCTCCCTGCTAATGTGCCTGGGAAAGCACTGGATGATGGTCCAAGCACTTGGGTTCTTGCCACCTGGATGAGATTCTTGGCTCCTGGCTTCAAAGCCTGGGACAGACCTGGCTGAGGTGTCCATTTGGGGAGTGAACCAGTAGATGGATGATATTTCACTCTCTCTCTCTTTCTGTCAAGTAGATAAATGTAAATAAACATTTAAAAATAAGATTAAAAATTACCTGTAAGAATAGTAATTGTGGCTTTACTTTGTACTTCCCCAGTGACTAATGACACTGAGCATTTTTCAGGTGCTTATTTGCCACTCACACATCTTCTCTTAATATTTGGGGAAACTCTCAACTCTGTTCAATTTCATTTTTAATGGTTATAGAATTATTCAGGTTTCCTACCCTTCTTGTAGATTATTTTATAGGAGTTTATCTAGGTCATCCAAATTAAAAATTTATTGGCATAAAATTATTCATAATTTTACCTTTTTTCCTTAATTATTGCAAGATAATTAATGTCCTCTTCTATATTCATAATGAGACCTTTTTGTACTCACTTTAAGGTCATTAGTTTTGCTAGGGTAAGTAGCTTCAGAAATCAGAGATGCAAGGGCCTGGCATACTCTCCAGGTACTTCCTGACCAGGCAGGGAGTACTGCACCTCAAAGACCATGCGCTGGTCAGAACCAGCTACTAGACTCAGCAGACACCTTGGGGAAGATTTACGGGTGGTCCCAGAGCTTCCTGTGTTCCTATTAAGACACCCCCACCCCCAATCCTTACAAGATTGCCACATTCCCCAAAGGAGGGAATTCCTAGCGCTGCACATATTCTTGTATAAAGGCAGCAACGCAGGTATGACTCTACCCTAACAGCAGAGCTGACACATTTCCCAAGGAAGACGGGGCTGGACATGACCAGCCCCTTTCCCTAAGAACTGCTCCTATGTCCCTCAGGCAGGCCTGTAAACTCAACATTCCTTGTGATGTTCAATCCCTTCACCATGTTTTCAGCAAAAAACCCTATAATCCCTACCTAACATTTCCCTTCATCTGAATGTAACAGCTCTTACTTTTTTGCCATGTTGTACAGATGTCTAACAACTACTTCTCTTTCGTCTTCTTCCCCTGCCCTCAGTGCCATCTCTGGAGTGCCTCAGTCTGGTCATCTTAACACTTGAGTTCAGCAATTCAGAACATGCTATGATGAACTAGAAGAGCAGTGCCCTCAACCCACCGGTTTCAAGAGCTAATGAATGACTTGGGCAAGACTGTGTCAAGTGTTGGCAACACAGGATATAGCTGCCTATGGTAGGCATATAACTGTCCTTAAAGGACAAGTATAGAAGATGGGCATTTGGTGTAGTGGTCAAGCAGCTGCTTGAGATATCCATAATCCATTTGAGTCCTGGCTGTACTTCTGATCCCAGCTTCCTCCTAATGCACACCTTGAGAGGCAGCAGGTGATAGCTCAAATACTTGGGTTTCTTCCACCCATGTGGAAGACCTGAATGGAGTTTCAGGATCCTGGCTTTGATTTGGCCATTGTGAACATTTGGATGGGAGATCTTTCTGTCTCTCCACCTTTGAAATAATTAAGTAAAATTTTTAGAAGAGCAATATTGAACATATTGTGTATGGAGCAACCAAAAGTAGTAGACTGTAGTAAACAGCTGCTTTTTTTTTTTTTTTTACTATTTTCTATTTTTGAGAGATTTTTCCTTCCTATTTTTGAAGAATTCTGAATTGCGAATCTTGGTTGGGAGCTCCTACTATTGCAGATGAAGGGGGCAGGCTCTCCCTTTCTCCTACCCTGGCCTCAATGGTATGGGTGCATGACCTAGGTACAGCACAATCACAAGCATGCACATGTGCATATACATGTGCAACCCTCCCCCCACCACACACACACACACACACACACGGCATTCTGAATCTTGTCCCTCCCTAGGAGCAGCAGGGAAGTTTTTCAGAGGGTGGCTGTGGTGCATATTCACTAACCGTGACGGCAGCCCAGTGGCAGCAAAGGGCAGAGTCAGAGGATGACGACACAACACAGCCTGGGACTGCCCAAGCCAGACCACCAGAGCAGATCTAGCTTGTCTTCTGCCTGGTTTCTCCAGCCTTCCCAAGGACCCAGTGGGCTGCTCCATTTTCTTCCAAGAAATTCCCTTTATGGTTTTAATTGGTCAGTGTCACCTCCTGTTGCTTGAAATTAAAAACTCTGAAATGCCCATTAATCCAGAGTTGTTTTGTTGACCAACTCCAGAGGGCACCATTGATGCAAGTAAAAATGGCGGTCCTTAAGTCATGCAACATGGTGCCATAAAAGTCATCAACGTGGCAGCACGAACTACATACTAATGTGTGTCTATAGCACATAACACAGACTAGAAAGATAAAAATATTTACTTAGTTACATATTTGGACAACAAAAACAATAATGTTATAATCCCAATATGTTAAGTGTGGGCTTTGCAGTACCTACAGACTCACATTCAACTCCTTTCTGCCACTTACTATCTGCATAGCTTCGGGCAGGTTGCTTAGCAGCTGGAAGATGGGCTATTCATTGGCTACTACTCTCATTTTGAATTTCATTTTCTTTGTCTGGAAAACAGGAACAGTAACAACTACTTCACTGGCTTATTGTGAGGATTTCAGATTAAAGCCAAAGCCCAATGCTTGGCACACAGAAGGCATCTAGGGATTTCTAATTTCTTTTCCAACACTGATAACATAACCTATTTAGTCCTTGGATGTCTACAAACCCATTACCAAAGTGATGGCATCTTCAACTTGGTGTAATCATTTCAGCCATGCTCCACTTTGAAGCAGTATGACCTTAGAACTCTTGTTCCACTGCTTCTAGCTTCTATGCCTACAATATTCATGCTGTCACTTTCCACGTGGGTATATCCCCTGCAAAGAGAAGGGGAAGACTGGGCATTAAGATGAGAAAAAGACAGACTTTTTTTTTTTTTTTTTTTTGACAGGCAGAGTGGACAGTGAGAGAGAGAGACAGAGAGAAAGGTCTTCCTTTGCCGTTGGTTCACCCTCCAATGGCCGCCGCGGCCGGCGCACCGCGCTGATCCGATGGCAGGAGCCAGGAGCCAGGTGCTTTTCCTGGTCTCCCATGGGGTGCAGGGCCCAAGCACCTGGCCATCCTCCACTGCACTCCCTGGCCACAGCAGAGGGCTGGCCTGGAAGAGGGGCAACCGGGACAGAATCCGGCGCCCCGACCGGGACTAGAACCCGGTGTGCCGACGCCGCTAGGCGGAGGATTAGCCTAGTGAGCCGCGGCGCCGGCCCGAAAAAGACAGACATTTAAGTGGCAAAAGTCTTCCCATGAAGAGGGAGCTCAGCCTCCATTCCATCAGACCCATTCCCACTTCTCCTTTACTCTGGGATTTGATTCTGTAAACAAGTACTGTCACATTCTCTTGTTAGAATAGTGGTTCTGGGTCCTCCTGACAGTGGCTGCCTGAGTTACAATGATTTTAGATATCCCACAAAATTCTAAAAGAGGAGAAGGGCAGTTGGTTTAATCTTGGCGAGTCTGAGCCATCTCCCTACAATTTAGAATTATGACTTCCTGAGCAGCCTCATGTTCTCTTGACAAAGGAGATGGAACAACATGAGCTTGACAGGTGCAGTCATTTTCCTGGAGTCAAAGTCAGGGCCCAGCCCAGACCTAGCTGCAATTCTCTATGGGGCTTTGTGCAAAACATCCATATCTATAAGCCTGTTTTCACCTGCAAAACATGGATGATGCCAGCTGCATGTGGTAGCTTGCACACTACAGGAGTCACGTATGTAATACACAGTTCTGACTGTCAATTGGTTTTTTGACAGGGAACTGAATGTGAGCAGTGACTTGCCTCAGACCCATTAACTAGTTTGAGTTCCCTGAGTTCTCTGATATTCTCCCAATATTACCTTACAAATGCCATGAAAAACCATTTACAAGCAGAGTAAAGGATAACAAAGGCAACTACCTGGCCCATCTGTGAGATCCCTCAAGCAAGTGACAGCAGCTTTTGAGAACTGGGGATTTATTTTTCTTATTCCACACATAGACTCACAAAGAGCAGTCAAGGGATGATGATCGGCTAGGGTCCTGTAGATGAAAAGGCAGGAAGGCCAGTACTGTGACACAGCAGGTTAAACTTGCAACACAGGCCTCCCATACTGCAGCACTGGTTGGAGTCTCAGCTGCTCTGCTTCTGATCCAGCCCCCTGCTAATAACCTGGGAAAGCAGCAGAAGATGGCCCAAGTGCCCTGCCACCCAAGTGAGAGACCCAGATGGAGTCACAAGCTCCTGCCTACAGCCTGGCCCATCTCTGGCTGCTGCAGCCATCTGGAGGGTGAACCCATGGATGGAAGATCTCTGTCTCTGTCTCTCCTTTCTTTGTTACTCTGCCTTTCAAATAAATAACTGTTTAAAAAGGGAAAAAAAAAAAACAACAACAACAAAGTGTGGACTGCTGAAGGTGGGGAGCTGTCCGTAGGCAGGGGTACTGCACTCACCACGCACACAGACGTGATGGGCCTCTGGTGGTCCTGGAAGGCTGCCAGCTGCCGGCCGTATATGGTGAACAGCACCAGCTTCAGTCCAAACACCAGTAGGAGTACCTGTGAGCTGTGGCTTTTCATGAGGTGTGGAGGTATCAGTGTCTGGCAATGGGAAACTGGCAATCTGTTGTACTTTTAGAAATAAAAAGAGAGAGAGAGAGAGAGAGAGAACAGATTGATTTCCCTGGAATAAACACAGGCCTCGAAAACAGCTTTGTAGTTAGAACTGCATTCAATCCAACCCATACATTTCCTCCCCCAAATTACCAGTTCATTAGCTCTAAAATACTGATGATGCCTTAGTTACAGGGAGCAGAAAGATTAAATGCAGTACCCAAATATCCAAAATCAGAAAGGCTCCAAAATCTGGAACTTTCTGAAGGCCAAAAGGATGCCATAAGTAGAAAATATCACGCCTGACCTCTGATGCTTTACCATACACAAATTTTGTTTCATGCATAAAATTATCTAAAGTACTTATATAAAACAATTACTGGGCCTTGAATACAAAGTATATATGAAACAAATCCACTTTCTGTTTAATCTCGGGTTCTAACCCCAACATAACTCATTATGTATATGCAGATGTTCCAAAATCAGAAAAAAAAATCCAATATCCAAAACACTTTTGGTCCCAAGCACTTTGGATCATGGATACTCAACCTTACTATTCAGGAAATGGGGCTCCCTCCCTTCTACCCCTTTCCATCTACGACTGGGTGATAAAAGAAATGGCCACATGAGACCTATATGACATTTTCCAAAAACTACTGTTGAAGAAATTGTCTTTTACATCGTATAGCAGTCCTTTTCACCAGGAAAAAAAGGTCCTCTCATGAAGATTTCATGTGTTTTCTCTTATCAGACAAGGATATACAGTACACATCCTATTATCCTTTTTTCCTCAGCTGCCAGGAAGCTCAGAGTAAAATTTGTAGTCAAATAATGATATGAAAACAAATAGACATAATATCACAGAAAACATGCTAAAGACCACAAATAAGGCCTTTTGGAGCAATATAGGGCTTGGGAAATAAAGTGGACGGAATGGAGAAGGCTGGGGTTCTATTTTTCCTACTGGACCAAGAGCTCCTTGGGGAAGAGATAGTTATGGCTTTTATTCACCTCTGTATGCACTCAGTGCTGAGAGAAGAGAAGTCAGAATGGATGGAAGCAGAAATATCAGCTAGGAGAAGGGAGGCTAAGAGCGTCTGAATCCCAGGACCATGCAGGCTGCCCAACTCTTACCAGGAGCTCAACCACTCGACCAGTGCATACAATCACAACACCTTTGCAGGGCCACTATGCCATCATCTGAGTATTTCACTGTGAAGAAAAGAGAATGTCCCAAAGGGAATCTGAGAAACCTGTGCTGCAAGTGTTATACTGTAAGGGTGGGACACACAGACCTGCTGGGGCCAGCAGAGGGCCCTTACCCAAAATGTCCACTTCTTCCCTGGACTTCTCAGCCCTTAGCTCATAGGTGGAGATAATCAGCTGCATGCCATTGTCATTTCAGTGCATAGCAATCAATCTGGATGCCTCATCAGGGGCGCAGCAGGCATGGAAACTCAGCCGGATGGAGAGGGCGGTAGAGGCAGGAGTCTCATCTTCAGATGGGAACAGCAGAGACGGTGTGTAGAATACCTGGGGGAACACCCTGCGTGGTCACATGGCTGAGGGGCTGGTTTCCCAGACCCAAAGCATGTGGAAACACCACCTCTCATGCCCACACCCACCTCACTGGGCTTGCAGGGCAGCCCAGGCCCCCGGCACATCCTTTCCAGATCAGGTCTGGACCAGTGGTTTTTTGAGGCTGATCCCAGTCCACATCTGGCTCCACTGGAAACACAAGGCTGGGCTGGCCCCAGTGAAGTCAGTACAGAGGTGAACCAAGTAAATGAGATTTCCGCTTTTGAATAGGTGTGGTCACTGTTCTGCTGTTATCCCCAGTGTTTTCCTGCATTTGTCCTTCCTATCTCCAAGGCCCTCCTCTTGGCCCCAGGACTGACTTCCTGTAGCCTCTCTGCGCTGGCTGCTCTTCTGTGACTGCTCAGCCCCTCAGCTGCAGGTCCTTACTCTCTCTGCCCTCCTCCTTTACAGACCACAGCCAGCAGTCTGCTGTCTACTGTGCTATAATATCTCATTCAGGGCCTGTCACTCAAAAGGTGCCTTATCTCCTGTCATTGACTAGCTGTCTCTGCCTACAAGTGGTCAGGACTCTGAGTCACGGGTAGACAGGGGATGAGGCACCCTCTCACAAATGCTTCCTTCTACATAAGCAGATGCACCTTCCATGTCACCAGGATCACCTCCACACCTGACCTGCCCACTCCCACCCTCACCCTCACAGGAGCTCTGTCAAGCAGTTCCTGAATGTTTCACCGGGATTGTTAAGGTCGAGGTACGTCCACCGCCCGAGAAACGACTCCAGGAGACTCTCCTATGCAAATTGCAAAGGGTTTATTATTTTTCCAGCATGCTGGGGCTCTCTGATCATGCCAGAACAGAGCAGCCCTGAGGAACTAAAGTATAGGGTTTATAAAGGCAAAAACCACAAAATCGGGGTGGGGGGGGAATGCACGGTTGCTATACACGGTTGCTAAGATCAAAGGAGAGTACATAGTTACTGGGGTCAACATAACCCAAGACCTGAGTGAAATTAATATCCATTATAATCTTAACAATACCAGTTATAATTTTACAATTATTAATTATGATCTTGACATTAATTCAAATTATGTGTAAGACATAGACAAATCACATCTTTATCATTAACCCAGGTGCAACCTTTCTACTTTCAAGCTTGAGCGATCATGCTGGGGGGTTTTTGTGCTCTGCCAAGGGTGATGTAGTGCACTGCTATTGTCCGACTGTTTGAGATCATAGTTGCAGACCAGAGTCTCACGGTGGGGGGGTGCTTTCTCAGAATGGAGTCTCAAGTGCTCCAAAATGGAGTCCCTACTGTCAAGGTGCTACTTCAGGATGTCCCTATGGCCCCAAACTGTTCAAAATGGAGCCTTGCCCAAACAGCTCAGGCTGTGGGCCATGAGCCAGGTCCCAGGAGTGGACTCTGCTGTGGGGAACAGACCCAGGCAAGGGGCAGAATGTGACTCGCAGTGAGCAGCACTCAACCAAGCCACACGTGCCAGGCTGTGGAGTCAAGCTGCCTTGAACCCACATCTCACAGCCTTGTCCTCCTCCCATGAAGCAGCCAGGATCCACAGAGAGACAGCTGAGCAAGCACTGACCTTTGGGCCCGGGTGTGAATTCTGTGTGGATGCACACACCCACTTGCAGTCAGGAGAGCACACGAGCTTTATGGGGCTGTTGGGAAATGCAGTCACCTCGGAGACCAGTTGCAGCTGAGGCAGCACCAGAGTATAGAGGTTCCCTTCAGCACAGGCCACCTGCAACAGAAAACAACCCAACCTGGCTAACAGGTTCTAAGTAACAGGAGAAAGAACTGGTGTCCTACTGCACAGTAGGATGATTATAGATAATAATATACTGTGTATCTGAGGGGCTCAAAAATATCATGGAAAAATATAATTGACAGATAAGTTTATTTTGGTGCCAAAACTCTGAAATCTATGTATATAAGAAGTTCACAAAATGCAGGTTATGAACAAACAATACACAGGGGCCAGTGTTGTGGTGCAGAATAAACCACTACCTGCAACGCTGGTACCCCATGTGAGTACTGGTATGAGGCCCAGCTGTTCCACTTCTTATCAAGCTCCCCACTAATATGCCTGGAAAAGCAGAGGAAAATGGCCCAGGTACTTGGACCCCTGCCATCCACACGGCAGAATGCAATATTCTGGGTTGACAGTTTTCTTCTCTTAATACTTGGACTATATCTCTTAAGAATGGCCATTCTCTTCAAGCCTGTAGGGTTTCTGATGAGAAGCCAGATGTGAGTCTAGGTGGAGATCCTCTGAGAGTCATCTGGAGTTTCTCTCATGCACATTTTAAAGATGTTATTTATTTATTTGAGAAGTAGAGTTACAGACAGACAGAGGGAGAGGAAGATTTACAGACAGAGAGGGAAGGATGAAAAGGTCTTCCATCTGCTGGTTCACTCCCCAAATGGCCGATATGGCTGGAGCTGAGCCGATCTGAAGCCAGGAGCCAGGAGCTTCTTCTGAGTTTCCCACATGGGTGCAGGGGTCCAAGCACTTGGGCCACCTTCTACTGCTTTCCCACACCATAGCAGAAAGCTGGATCAGAAGTAGAGCAGCCAGGACCAAAACCAGCACTAGGATGCCAGCACTGTAGGCAGAGGCTTAGCCCACCACACCATAGTGCCAGCCACACATTTTAGAGTCTTCTTTATGCTTTACTGCGGAAAGTTTGACTACAATGTGTCGTGTTGATGATCTTTTTCGGTCATGTCTGTTAGGAGTTCTATGTGCTTCCTGTACTTGGACGTCCCTTTCTTTCTCTAAATTAGGGAAGTTTTCTGTAATTATTTCACTAAATAGGCCTTCTAGTACATTCTCTCTTTCCACGCCTTCAGGAGGTCCTAAGACCTGTATGTTGGGTTGATAGTATCCCATAAATCTCCAACACTGTCTTTAAGTTTTCTAATTTCTCCTTGGTTTTTTGTTTGTTTGTTTTGTTTTTTTGGACTGAAAGATTTCCAAAGATTTTTGTCTTCTAACTCAGAAAGTCTTTCTTCTGCCTCACCAGTTCTATTGTTAAGGCTTTCCACCACATTTTTTATTTGATCTACTGAATTCTTGGTTTCTACTATTTCATTTTGATTTCTCTTTTAAAAATCTCAATCTCATGGGAAAAATTTTCATTCATGTCATGTATTTGTTTCTGATTGCTTTTGAGTATTCTTATTATTAATTTTTTAAGTCCATTTCTAGCATTTCATCAATCTCTTTATCTTCACATTCTAATATTAAAATGTTGTTATGTTCCTTTGGGGATCAGTTAATGCCATATTCCTTATTCTTATTTCTTGAATTTCTGTATTTATTTTTAGGCATTTGTGGAGTTAATTGTTGCTTTCTTTCTCCTCTGATAGCTGAATATATACCTACCATTTGACTCAACCATCCCACTCCTGAGAATTTACCTAAAATAAATGAAATCAGCATATGAAAGAGTTATCTGTACCCCCATGTTCATTGCAGCTCAATTCACAATAGCTAAGATATGGAATCAGCCCAGATGTCCATCAACTGATGACTGGATAAAAAAATTATAGAATATATACACTATGGAATACTACACAGTGATAAAAAAAAATGAAATCCTGACATTTGCAACAAAATGGATACAACTAGAAACCATTACACTCAGTGAAATAAGCCTGTCCCAAAAAGACAAAACCCACATGTTCTCTCTGATCTGTGGTAGTAACTAAGAGTACCTAAAAAGTAATCTATAGGAGTGAAATTGACACTTTCTTATGCTATAATTTTGAACAGCCCTTGTCTTGACTATTGAGGAACAATGTTTTTTGTTTGCTTGTTTTTTTTTCTTCATACTGTTTGTTGAACTCTCTACTTAGTGTTGAGTTAGTCTTATGAGTATAAAGTTAACTGAAAATAGATCTTTGTAAAGAAATAGGAATGGGAATGGGAGAGGGAGGAGGAAGAAGGGTGGGAAGAATCACTATGTTCCTAAATGTGTATATATGAAATGTATGACATTTGTATTCCCTAAATAAATAAGAAAAAAAGAAATGGAAAACACACACACACACACAAAATGAACCAAATGACACCCCAACATGAGGGCAGCAAGCAAGTCCTGAAATATCTGTTGAGGGAGCTACTGCCTATTCACAGGAGGGCACCCGCTAGTAAATTGTAGATCTGCCTTAGAATATTTCTTCAAATACATGGGAAAAAATGAACACACTTCAACAACACGTAAGTCTCCAGAGCAGAAGCCCTGAGCCCCACCCTGCAGCAGTATGCATGACCTCCCCGTGCCCTTTCTATTCATTGGTGCAAGCACCCTGGTTGTACTACAGGCTGCTCTGTGTCCTGCCTGTCATACTTCGGATTTAACTTACTCCTTAGAAATCTTTCTGCATTAGGGAATATCTTCTTATGACTTTTTCATCTACTACACTGATGGAAATTTATTTACAAATTTTGTTAAAAGGAGCCGGTGCTGTGGCTTTATGCGTAAAACTGCCACCTGCAGTGCCAGCATCCCATATGGGTACCAGTTCTAGTCCGGCTACTCCACTTCTTTTTTTTTTATTATTTGACAGAGTTAGACAGTGAGAGAGAGAGACAGAGAGAAAGGTCTTCCTTCCATTGGTTCACCCCCAAATGGCCACTACTTCCTCTTGGTCTCCCATGCGGATGCAGGCGCCCAAGCACTTGGGTCATCCTCCACTGCTTTCCCGGGCCACAGCAGAGAGCTGGACTGGAAAAGGAACAACTGGGACTAGAACCCGGCGCCCATATGGGATGCCAGCGCCACAGGCAGAGGATTAGCCAAGTGAGCCACAGCACCGGCCCCGGCTACTCCACTTCTGATCCAGCTCTCTGCTATGGCCTTGGAAAGCAAAAGAAGATGGCTCAAATGCTTGGACCCTTGCACCCATGTAGGAGACTCCGAAAAAGCTCCTGGCTCCTAACTTTGGATTGGCTCAGCTCCGGCCACTGTGGCCATTTGGGTAGTGAATCAGCAGATGGAAGACCTTCCCGTCCTTCCCTCTCTGTCTGTAAATCTGTCTCTCAAATAAAAAAATTTAATTAATAAAAAGGATTAACATGGCTGGCCCCATGGCTCACTAGGCTAATCCTCCACCTGCGGCGCCAGTTGGAGCGCCAGATTCTGTCCTGGTTGCTCCTCTTCCAGTCCAGCTCTCTGCTGTGGCCCGGGAGTGCAGTGGAGGATGGCCCAGGTCCTTGGGCCCTGCACCCGCATGGAAAACCAGGAGAAGCACCTGGCTCCTGGCTTCAGATCAGCACAGCACACTGGCTGTAGCAGCCACTTAGGGGGGTGAACCAACGGAAAAAGGAAGACCTTTCTTTCTCTCTGTCTCTCACACTGCCTAACTCTGCCTGTCAAAAAAAAAAAAAAAAAAAAAAAAAAAAAAAAAAAAAAAGGCTTAACACAAGATATTAAAAAAGAAAAACCTACTCTTTACTAAGACACACAAGGAACCAATTTTGGACTTTCTTTCTTTGTAACTTACCTAGAAATGGCTGTTATGACCATCCAAGAAAATACAAATATTTCTAAATGTGCAAGAAATGGCAGGTAACATTCACACAAATAAAAACAGTGAGAAACACTTAGTTTATGAAAATCTTTCTCCAAAGAATGACCAGGAAGAGATCTATAGCCACACCCCATATGAAATAACATAAAATTAGCATTTGCAGATATGACATAACACTCTGAGTCAGAAATTCAATACTCATCCACTCTTGCCCCTGCTGTCTTAGTGCTGCTCTTGCTGGGAGGACACCCTGCTTGGAGATGGTGGCCACAACAAAGACAAAGAAGCTTTCACTACAGTTGAGCAAGTCTGGCTCTATGTTGTTGTGAAAACAGGAAAGCACATGCTGGAGTATAAGGAGATGCTAAGGATGCTCAGAAGAAACGGAGCAAAACTTTTCATGCTGTCACCAACTGTCCAGCATTGAGGAAATACAAACACATAGGCACCTGGACTTAAGATAGGTCTAAGGTTCCACTAAACCCATTGTGAAGTTAAAAAACTCAAAGTTGAACATTCTAAGTCCAGATGTTCCTGGACTTACGGTGGGTAAATCTTTTAGGAAGTCATAAAATCCCAACTCAAATCCCTGAAAGTTGGGGACCACCTGGAGAGTCTCATACCATGTTGGCCAAAATTAGTGTCCACCACTTCAGTGGCAATAATATTGAATTGGGCTCAGCATGCCCCAATTATTAGCATATGCTCCCTGGTTACCATTGATCCTGATGACTCCATTACTACTCGAAGCTTACCAGAACAAGCTGGTGAAATGAAAATCATAAAAATTTTTCTTTAATAAAACTGGCTAGACATTGTGGGCCCATGCTGCTCTGAGCCTCCAGGGGGTGTGGCCTTCAGGCCACCCACCCCATGCTTGCTGGCCTATATGCTCCTCCATGTGCTGGCTCCTGATACTCGGTATGAATCCAGATTCCTCTCTCTTTTAGATAGAGCCCTCACTCTCCTATGCATTTCTCTCACTGAATAAAAGCTTTAAAAATTGAAAAAAAAAAAAACTGGCTAGAGCATGTTTATAAAGAAAGAGGAGGGCATTGTGACCCAGAGGGTTAAGCCACTGCTTTTGACACCCATATCTCTTAAGAGACCCAGTTCAAGTCTGGCTGCTCCACTTCTAATCCAGCTTCCTACTAATGCATCCAGGGAGGCAGCAGTTGATGGCCCAAGTGCTTGGACCCCTGC